CTTGAACCTGTGCTTGCAGCTGAGCTTGAACCTGTGCTTGCAGCTGAGCTTGAACCTGTGCTTGCAGCTGAGCTTGAACCTGTGCTTGCAGCTGAGCTTGAACCTGTGCTTGCAGCTGAGCTTGAACCTGTGCTTGCAGCTGAGCTTGAACCTGTGCTTGCAGCTGAGCTTGCCAATCAGCTTGTGATTTCCTTACTTGTTCTAGCTCAGCTTGAAGGGCACTTATTTATTGAGCTTGTAAGGACTCATGCGAACTGGATGCGAAGCTGGATGCAGTAGAGGATGTCATCCCCTCGTATGCCTGAGCTTGCGCACCTAAGCCATATACTCGTAGCAGGCAAGCTGTAAGAACAATATCATCAACAAAAAGCATGCACCAAGGTACATCCTCTAGCAAATGTCTAGTGCTAACAACCATGACTAAAGCAAAAAGATATGAACTAATGTTGATCTCCATAATCCAAGTTTACCTTCAACTCCCTCTCTAGCCTTATCAACAAGAACAATATCATCAACAAAAAGCATGCACCAACGTATATCCTCTAGCAAATGTCTAGTGCTAACAACCATGACTAAAGCACAAAAAAATGGACTAATGTTAATCTCCATAATCTAAGTTTACCTTCAACTCCCTCTCTAGTCTTATCAACAAGAACAATATCATCAACAAAAAGCATGCACCAAGGTACATCCTCTAGCAAATGTCTAGTGCTAACAATCATGACTAAAGCAAAAAGATATGGACTAATGTTGATCTCCATAATCAATGTTTACCTTCAAATACCTCTCTAGTCTTATCAACAAGAACAATATCAACAACAAAAAGCATGCACCAAGGTACATACTCTAGCAAATGTCTAGTGATAACAACCATGACTAAAGCAAAAAGATATGGACTTAAGGCTAATCCTATATGTAATCCAACCGAAACAGGAAAAAAAAAACGAAAACAAATACCTTCGATCGTTCTATGACCCTCGGCGGCGCGCGACTAGGAATGAGAGAGGCTCGGCGAAGTCCGGTGACCGTCGACGGCGAAGTCCGGTGACCGTCGGCGACGTCTAACCACGGCGAGCTACGAACGGCGACGGAGGGCGAAGCAGGCGAAGTGAGAGAACGAAAGGAAACGAATGACGGCCAGAGGGGTTCGATTTCGGGAAATAGGGCTTTTACCGGCAAAATTTCCGACGAATTCGACGCCGGTATCATTTCCGATGCAAGCTACGTCGGTAATATTTCGTTGAGTTTAAATACGCCGGCGCAATGTCCGCCTGTAACGTACGCCTAAAATGTTCCGCCGTAACGTGCGACGGAAATGGTTCATACATTACTATACCGTCGGATTGTCCGGCGGAACCGGCGTCGGTAACTTTACGGCGTATTTTACGCCGGAAATTGCGCCGCAAGATTTTCGTCAAACAATTACGCCGTAACCGGCACCGTTATTACCGGCGCACAATTTTTCGCCAGAAAATCCGACGATAATCGCGTGTTTTCCCGTAGTGTATGCTGCTATTATATGCCTGATACAACGTATCTGATTGACGACTTGCCTTAATCGGAAGTTCTCTCTCGTTATCGGGAGGGGTAATTAACTATAGGGGCTTGCGCCTATAGTAAACCAGAACTCATATCATAAAGTCCTCGCAAAATGAGCACAAAATCTCTGGGTAGTGTCTTACCTACAAACCCATCTGCCTTCCAAAATTTACCCAGAACTTAATTCTGTTAAAACTCTCTCACCGAAGAAAAAGCGATCAGCGGGCGGAGGCTGGGGCCAAATTTTCGGAGCCCACACCTTCAAGACAGCCCACATAATGAGAAGTTAAAACATATAGCATAGGAATTAACAAGGAGGGAACCTAAATAACCAGCAGCAGGTAAACCGAACCATCAAGTAACTACCAGCAGGGAAACCAAGGTTCAGCAAGGAAACCGAGAGCCAGTAGGCAAGGAAAATAAGAGCCAATAGGGAAAACTATGAGCCAACAGGCATGAAAACTGAAATTAAGCATGGAAAACCGCGAGCCAGCAGGGAACATGAGGAGACATAAGAAATAGAAAACCAATACAGTGAAACTACCTAAGAGCACCAAACCCAATGAATATGCTTTTTGATATCAGGATGACAAAGCTGCAATTCCTCATCTTCAACAGTCAATCAGGGGGACATCCACTCCATCTAACAATGAATCGTCGATGTACTCCATGCCTTGTTTGGGTAGTACGGATATTCACAACAACATCGAGAATAATAAGAGATGAAGTCCCACACAACTGTATATTTTTAGCAGCACCTGTAAATATCTTCTCAATAATGAAAGGATTTTTTGAAAAATAAGGCTTTACACGATCTGTGATCGAACCAACTCTTTCAAAAAGCTCAACATCTTTTGATAGAATACAGCTAACTAAAGTAACCTTATCAAGGAAAATAATGGATGATAAACATTTACTTGACACAGCTAGATTCATCAATTCAAGTTGTTCATCCTCTACAAGCTGGATGTTCCCTTTGATATTTTGATCAACTATAAATGTTTTATCAATAGCTTCCTCCATGGTTGTTGTCCCCAATTGTAGTTCTTCTAGCTTCCTCAACTTCTCTTCTTCCATGTTTATTTTATTCAGCGGCTTTTTGCAGTAGACAGGTTGATCAACAAATTGCAATATCGCCTCATCAGATAGCCTTTTAAGAATAACAACTTCTCAATTGTGCCTTTCATGATCATGCATTTCTTTGTCAGTTTGTGTTTGCACATCACTCTTTCTTTTAATACATTATTTCTCACATGCTGCCAACCTATACAGGACTTCAACTTTGTCTGGCGTTTGAGTCTCCTTACTCTTATATAGCCTCTGCATTTGAGAAGTAACATCATTGGCCAACATATTAGTCAATACAAATTTATCCACAATGTCATTGACTGGATAAATGGTAAGCTAAGCAGAACTACATGTTCAATCACTTTCGTCAATCCATCTTTTTTTGCTAAACCCCATGTTCAATCACTTTCATCACCTCCACCTATCCTGATGGCTCATGCCTTCTTGGAATCATCTCCTCTTAATTTTAAATTATCAAGCAATATGTCTCCTATTGCTCTCACTCTTTTTTTTTTTTTTGAGGTTGAAGGCTTCAAGAATTCAACCCTCTTCATTTAATCATTTTTCTATATCTTTTAGCAAGATTCAATCCATGCTCAAAATAAGCAAACATAAGTAACCATCTACTTTCAAGACAAAATTGCACTTATTTCATAAAAGGTGAGATCTAAAATCTTGCAAGTCAACTAGTTTTTTCTACTATGGATATTTTTTTTTCCATCAATTTAAAAATTATTCACAAACTTATGTCATGCTTGCAATTTATTTGGGACTTTTCTATTTGGCTCATTGACCCTTGTTATATCATTATAAAATTATTTATAGGCAATTAATTCTATTATATTAGTAGCTATCCAATGTGTATGCTATCTCCTCAATTTGATTCTTACAAAGAATCACCAATTACTCTTGTGCCAATTATTTCTCTTCATATTTGTTTACATTATATCAACTAATCTATTTTATATTGAATATATTCTCAAAACTTTATTTTCTTAAATCATTGCAAGTGGATGCTACTATGGCCCATTTCTATGGGTTGTCTATTTACAGAGTTTTGGTTGAATTTGGTGTGATTATTTCTTTTGAAAAGGAGGTGTTGATGGTTTCTCCTCTGGTAGATATTGATAAAAGGTTAATTTGTAGACATTCTTTCTAATATGTTCTTGCATAAATTTTGAGCACGACTCTGAATATTTTAAGGCTCATTTGTATTTAAGGAAATCAAAGGTCCATAATCAAATTGTGCATTAAAATTATTACATCCTACATTCAAACATATTGGTTGTAGCTCCTATTTTAAATTTAAGTTTGCACTGAAAATTTGTAGTCAACTTTAGACCTGCCTTTGGAACAAGAGCCTTCTATGCATGCACATGCTCTAGACATATGGTCATCACATCACCTACAAGCATGAATATTGATCATGATTCTCTATTTAAGCTAGTAGGAACTTATCCTCTTATTATTGAAAATATTGATGATTATGATTTACATCAACCACATAACTTTGATGGGAGTCTTCATAATATTGACATCCAATGGATAGGAGGTTTCAAATCCTGCTTGTACGACGAGATAATAATAATAATAAATTATCGAAACTCCCAAAGATTCACTAACCTTTAAGCAATGTGTTGCAAATGAGAGTTTATGTAATTTTTCTTATCTAATAGAGGATTCTTCATCCCATAGCATCATGTAATTTTTAATTTAATTTTTATGGTTTTTTTCCTCTAACAATTATTTATAATTACCTCATGACTCATATGATTTATCGGTTATCAAATTACTCTTCTAGAAGACTATAGTGTTGTTCTAACCTTTTAAGCACCTCTACTTATTGTTGTCACCATCATAGCTTAACAAATTTCTTGCTTTAATCGCAATGAATAAAATGACCAACCATGTTAACTGAACTTCATGAATCAATTTTTTCATTTGCTAAATTTTCTAAAGAATATATAGATTTGGTGTGGGAATTGAATGGGAAAGTTTTCAGAACTAGAAAAGACTAAAGAGATAAGATAAAATACATTTTGATAAAAGAGGCTATTTATTTTTGATTTCTTACTTTGGTTGATACAAATTCGAAAACATTATATTAGTGGCATCGTCATTAGAATTATGCCAACACATTTTAGTCCAATAACTACAAATAACACTGAAAAACTATTATATCTTCTATCATATAATTCAATAAATATCATTCTAAAAATTACTCTAGAATAAATTAGGAATACAATCTAATATTTTGAGAAAAGTTATGTATAGTTAAGTTTTTTCTGCACCCTCTTTAAAAAATTGTAAAAAAAATATATATATATATATTCTTTTCATTTTTAAATTTAATTCATGCTGCAGATAATACTAAACCCTAAACTAAATATAAATAGCTCAATGCAAAAGATTCAGATAAGGATGAAAATGTATTCGTCAAAAGTGAGATTCAAGTACAATTAATAATTTGATAATCATCAACAATCAATATTCTACCAGCTGATGTTTTACTTATAGTGTTGATATCTGCTGTATATCTTCTTCTTCACCATATTAAACTTGCCATGCATTAATCATCCTTCGCTCGCAGAAGGATCTCATTCGATCGCATGCATCATTCAATAAGCCCGCAGGCAATCCGAAGAATAATCTAACCCAATTCTTCAACCCCAGGATGGAGCCTATGAATATATCAAACCTTTAAGTGTCAGCGTACGTGATTCTATTCTTGCATGAAATAGTCCAAAGTATTCAAGTTATTGAGATAATGATTACAAATATGTAATTACATGCAGTGAGCCGATTTGAGATCACTTATTTATTTTATTTATAACTTAATATGGAATAAAATATATTTTATATTCAAAATAAATATTATTTTTTATTAAATGTTAATGGTGGCATTTAATAAAAAAAAATGAAAACACTAAAAAAAAATTATTCTGAGTATTTCCAAAAACAAGTTGATTTACGAATTAAAATTATTTTTTAAAAAATGATGCTAAATATCCATTAACTATTTAAATGTTAAATAAAAATAAAATAAGATATATTAAATAAGTATGCAGATAAGCATCATTATCCTAACCTGGCACAACCAAGATAGACTCTTCTTTCATCAATTCTTTAGCAAAATCCATATCACTCTCAATGCCAAGAAGGCGCGTGGTGTCCACTTCGACCTGTATAAAATTCAAAAGCAAGTCATGCAAGCAGCCATAAGCAACTCCTCAACAGATTACCAAAGAATTTATATATGCACATATACCATCACGAACATGGATCCCTGAGGCCTGCAGTAGCATCTGAGCACTTCAATTTTCTCCAAACCTCTAAATAAGGTATCTGCAGATAACTCCAATAACATGACAACATTCTCATGAAATTCCTCATTTGCATCCGAGAGGACTGTCGGAACTGCAGCCTGATCCAACGTAAATTAGCACCAAATTAGTAGTAAGCAATAGAACAGAACAGATTGAACAAGAAAGGTGGTATCTTGAAACCTGAATCACTGAAGCTGGGCCAGAATAAACATTCATTAGTATTTCAGTTGCCTCCCTTACCTATCACAGGCAAGATCAAATCATACATAGATATACCAGAATGATTAAATCTTAAAATATAGCTATTAATTAGTCATAAATTATTTATATATTAAAAAAAATCATACTCTTTGAAGGGTGCCTTGCGGATCGCAAATGACTAACCAGCCAAGACGCCAGCCAGGAACCATCCAACGCTTGGCCAATGATCCGATTGTGATTACCGGTGCTAGATGGGCAAAGGAGGCCATGGGTACGAAGCTGACGCCTCCAAAGACCATTCCACCATAAACTTCATCGGCAATTATGGGAATGTTCAAATCCCTAGCAATCTCGGCAATCTGCAACGGGAGAAATCCTTAGCTTCAAATATATAGGTCCATTCCATCCAATCCAGAATCGATTAAGACTGGCTGTAAGCTGGCTCCAAACCTTGAAAGTCAAATTTATAGCCCTAATTTGCACAATGTGCAACAGGATTTTGGGGGGAAAGAGAGAGAGAGAGAGAAGGGGGATAGTCGTCCAACCTGGAAAAGATGATGGGCCGAGAAAGTAGCGCCAGAGGGATTATTCGGGTTGATAACTACGATGGCTAGGGTTCGATCATCCGCAAGAGAGCGGATCTGAGTGGGATCAGCTTCCCAGCGGCGCGACGGTAGCAAGTCATAGTAACGACAACGGACACCGGCAAGGTCGCAGGCGGAGTCGTATAGAGGGAATCCTGGCCGGGGAAGGAGAATGTTGCCGCCGGCGGAGGATAGAATGGTGAGAACCAAATGAATGGCTTGGGTGGCACCTGAGGTGAGGAAGACGTCGGCGTCGGAGACGTGAAAGGGAACTACTTCAGAGCGGGCGCAAAGTTTCAACACTTTGGTTAAGTGCTCTGCCACCGCGCTGCCAAATCATCAATTTTTATGACGTTAAATCAAATTCACATATATGTATGATAAATCACATGCTAAAACTTTAAAATGGAAATCTCCTTTATGACGAAGAACCACCACTGGAGACCTGTCACTTTTTATTGTCATGGAGCGCTTAGAGACCTGTAAATTTCGGTCAACCCACACTTATTATTATTTGTGGCCAATACTTTTTGGGTCTCTCAAAGGAATAATTATTAGGTCTGGACACCGGATATAGTTCTACATCCGAAGACCAATAATATGTCGCCACGTGCTCTTACTCTTTACCGCGATGCCCGACGACCCGACCCAGATTGGAACCCGGTATTGTTATGTTCGGGTATTGCTAGGTATTGCTTGACAATAACCAATACCTAGCAATACCGAGGTATTGATCTTGACTGAATGATATTTCTTATTATTGCCAAGCAATATCGAGCAATACCTAGCAATCCCCCGGTCTGTACAAATCAGTCAATACATAGTAATCCCGGGTCCGGTCAGGTCTGAGTCGGGCAGTCGGGTCACACGGTAAAGAGTAAGAGTACGTGACACTATTTTACTAACGTCCGAACATAGAGCTACGTCAGGACACCAGACCTAATAAAAATTCCTCCCGAAGGAGGGTGCTACTGCCCGAGAGAATCGAACATGAGATGGGGCCGGGTACCCACCCGTGCTTGCTCACCAACCAACTAATTTATAATCAAAATATTTAACTAATTGATTAAAATGAGCTGCATAAAAAATAATATTCTTAAGATAAGATTTAAAAATTAAGAAACTTAATGTATTTCCAGCTTTATATGTATATAAAAACAAGGAGACACATGCACTTAGTATAAAATATGTTATCTCTTTCTATTTTTTATTTTTCTTATAATAAGTTATAATTTAAATGAATTTAGCAAGTAGCATTATGGGGCTTTTTGGTTTATTTAAAAAGAATAAAAAAATAATATATTTGAAATTTTTAAAATTATTTGAATAAATATAAAATACATGTATGCGATTTTTTTTTATTTGAATTGAATTAAAATAATCTGTAAAATCTAATGATGACAACAATTGGCTGCTGGCTATAATGGCCATTAGGCCCATTACAAATTAATAATTTAATTCATTTATAATTATGATTATCATGAGGGTAAAGTAGATATTTCAATTTTTAATTGAGGTAATGAACATACAACGTAAAATACATTCAAAGACATAATATTTTATGAAAATGTAGATAAGTGTTATTATATTATTTTTCATGACCAATATCATTTAAATGTAAGAAATTCATAACATCTTGTAATAATTAATAAGATCTATTAACAGAATCGATCCTGTCCACACGTTGCTTGAACAGGATCGTCCTGCAACATCCTATCCACACATTAAAGAAACCAACAAAAAACTTTACAAGGAGTTCTTCCTAGAAAATATCTAATTTAATTTTTATTAATAAAATAAAATAAACTAGTAATATATAATCAAATTCACTGTCGAACAAATTTTTAAAAACATTAAAAATCACTCTCGACAGATCAATGGAGTTTAAAAAAAAATTATTATTATGATTACGTACGTCCAAAATAAAAAATAAAAAAGGAAGCTCACCGGCGAGCAGGTGGGAGGCCGAAGGAAGGAGCATAGGAGTCGGTGAGAGAGGAAGTGAAGGCGGAAGAAAGAGAATCTATGAAGGGCGGCCGGCCGCCGAGAAATTGAGGATAAGCTGTGGGATCGCCGGTGCCGAGAGAGATAACAGTCTTCTCAGTGTTAGACAAAGCCTGAAGCTCAGCCATCACTCCTCTAATGGAATATTTCACTTCCCGAAGCACTGTGTTGCAGCCTATCATTTTTGTCTTTGTAGCCGTTGTTCCTCCATTGTTCTTCTCTTCAGTTGAAACCTACACAAATATTTATATCATTATAAATAAAATATGGCGAAAGAGAGAGAGAGCAAAGATTGGAAATTGTGAAAATTAATTATACCTGAGAAATAGGGGCCATTGATGTAAAACAGGAAGAGAAATATTAATGCTTTCAGCTTGTTCTTGTGATATGCAGACGGGCGGAGTACTGACGGAGAACTCTTTAATTAGACACTTGACAGAGAAAATAAATAAAATGAAGTAAAATAAAAAAAATAACGTGTTGATTTGGCAACCATGTAATACTTGTCCTTACCGCCGAGGCCCAGCTGGCTAAGCCAACCAAGCAACTGTCACCGCAACATGCATTTATTGCAACATCAAGCACATGCATGGATCATGGATGAATCTTGGACACTCGATCGAACTAAACCTAAAGTCATCAGTAAGTGGTAGAAACTTCTAATATTATATCCTAATTACAAAAAAAAAATCATCTTAAATGAAGTTTAATTTAATAGTGACAGTTAATAATCATATCTAGATGTGCAGCTCGATGTGAATATGTGTGTGTGGGAGTCATATGTTGGAATAGGTTCTTATAGGAGGAAAAGAATAGTGTGGAGGAGTTTCATGTAGGTGAGCTAGCAACCCTAATGTTGGTGGGAAAGGGTTTCAATGAAGGTTAGTCGTTAAGTGATGATTATAAGTGCTAATTAATCCAAGATTAAAGATAAAAAATGCACCGTTAAAAATTCAAATAGTATTTGATGCCTTTTGTACCGCTATATAAAGAATGAAGGAGGGTCCCATCAGTTGTATTGTTTGACGGTGTGCCCTCCCATCAATCTTGTTCAAGGCTAAAACATAAAGGCCTCATAGGTCATATTTGTCACAACACAATCTCATAAGACTCACAAACTGGACAAATCCTATCAAATTGGATTGTAACAAACAAATCGTTGGATCTAAGTTTTAAAAAATTTTCAAGTTTTTTTTTTCAATATAAAATTTAGAACTAATGACAGACCACAAAACTACTAACAACATCTAGTATACTAAAAATGAACTTATTGTTAAAATTATCTTTTCATTATCATCAAAAAATATATATGCAATTGTTGCGGGCTAGAATATTCACAGCGGTACAATGAGTAAACTTTTTGTCAGCAATCGGCGGCGGTCCGAAGATGGTCGGAAGGAAGTTCGACGACGGTTGGAAGCCGGGTGAAAGTCCGACAATTGTTGGCGGCTGGGGCGATAGTCCGACGATGGCCGGGCAGAAGTCTAGCGGCGGTCGTGATATTGAAAGTATTGGAAGAATTTTCTTGGCCACAGTTGACATTGATGTTGTAGCCAAGGTTGCTCCCCAATGCAAGTTTACTTTCTCGAATGCAATGCATTTATGACTAATAACTGAGGAGATATAAAGCAATACATATTTGTTATTGTAGATATATTGCACTCAATATTGAATGACTTCATTTGAACCTGATAGAAGATCATGGTAAAGGAGTGGCCTCGTTTTAACCATGCTAAGATCGTTGGTGTGAATTGCCTTTGAGATTGCAGTAAAGGTTGACCCCAGTCAAGAATCACTTCTCACAAAATTGATGTAGTGGTGACTAATAATTGACAGGAGATAATGAATGTTTTCTTCCTTGGGCTTTTAATATTGAAGAACTTCTTTTGAATTTGGTAATACATCATGATAATTGGCCTCGATTCAATTATGCTAAGGATATTAATGTGAATGATCTTTTGAGGTTGAGACAAAGGTTTCCCCCAGCCAGGGATTAGTCACCACAAATGATGTCAAATTGTTATGTCTTGAAATATACGTGACGTTAGAGATATATAAAGTTTAACATATTAGCCTTATATGAATATACATCATACATATAGATAAAAAGAGTATGGTGCAATATTCATAAGAAACAACAAAAAATTTATATGGGAAACCCTAAAAAGGTGAAAAATTATGGGGCCTGACCCAATTTGAACGAATCCTCTAATATTTACGGTTGATTGCAAATAATAACCCTCCTTAGAGGAGGGTGATGAATCAATATATCAAATACATATTGTATAGAGCTCTTTACTTGATAGTTATTCTTAAAAGAATGTTTTATATGTTTGCTTAGTAAGTATGACCGTAGTCGATAGGCGACGATGGTCGGAGGAACCATAGTCATCGGTCGATGGTGGTCTTAGTGTGTCGTAGTTGGTGAGCGATAGTGATTAGTGTGTATCGAAGTCAGAGTGTCACAGTGTTCGGATGGATAGTAGTCGGTGGGAAATGGTGGTTAGACGGATCGTAGTTGGATGACGGTGGTTGAAACTTGAAAGGACCTTACTTGATGGGCGAAGGTTATTAGAGGGACTGTAATTAACTGGTGACAATGGTCAAAGGGATCGGATCATAGTTGATAAGTGACGGTTTCCAGAACTCATAGTCAGGTGATATTGCTTTGAGGAAGGCTCGTTAGTGACTTCCATATAAAGGTTCGACAGTCACTATCGGCCAAAGCTTCACCAATGGCGGCTTGGTGATGCAGATTCATTGACGATGATGCTAAGGTGGAGCTCCAAGAGTCTTCAAGCTTCATAGCTTTTTCCTTCTTCCTCTCCCCTCATGATTTCCCTCATATGAAAAATGAGCGGTCTATTTATAATTTTTTATGAGTGCATGACTAGTAAAAATGAAAATGATCAAGGGAAAGTTGGGAGTGCTCCAACGGACGGCTCATATTGATCCCCTTGATCGTGGAACATTTATCAAGTCTCTAAATGCCCAAATAATGTTAGAAATATTAGCAATATTGGGCTCATTGGATTAGTCTTGTCAAGCCGCTGATTCAAATATAAACATGCTATATTTAGATAACATATGGCCATCCAATTTGTGCTTTGAGCCTTATAATTATATTTTAGGCCCTCGATTTGGACTCATTTGGTCTTGGATTGGATTGATTTTGGTTTCATTAGGTTCATCTATTTAAGATGTTCAATTTGATTATAAGTTTGTTGAAATCAGAGTTTAGATGATCCCTAATATAACATCAAAAAATTATTTTGATCGGGCATGAATCTTAAGGAAAAATCAAGTTGTAATCTTCTAAAATTAAATTCAAAATCATATGAACTCCAATTTTAGCAAACTTTATAGTCGAAATGAATGAAAAAAAAATGGATGCTAGGACACAAAATTTGACTCAATTCGAGCCCAGATGGTCCCAAATCGAAGACTCGAAGCAAATTTGTAAGGGTACCATAATTTGAATTATCAAACAGTTTCCAAATATGACATGCTTATAGTTAAATAGAGCTGCTTGATGAGATGAATCTAATAAGCCAAAGATTGCAAATTTTGATATCACAAATGTACTCAAATACTTAAGAAATGGACTATCATCAAAGGGGATCAATATTAACCGTCCATTCAAATAACTCCCAACTTTCCCTTGATCTCCCTCCTATTTATTGATCATGCCACTCTTTGAAAACTATAAATAGACCTCCTCATTCTTCATTGCGGTAGGAGGGAAGAAGGGGGACCAAGCAAGAAGAGAGGGAAAGTTTTATTGCCACCAGACTCCTCGACCACCAACTAACGCCGGACATCCGGCAGGCGATGGACTTCTGGCAGTCGCCATACTTTCGTAGGACTTTGCCCAACACCGAACTTCCGCTTATCGTTGGATTTCTACACGACATCGGACTTTCGCATGTTGCAAGATTTCTACCCAACACCCGACTTCCAATCATCGGAATTCTGCCCGTAGCCAAACTTTCATTAGATTTCTACTCGACGTTGGGCTTCTACCCATTGCCGGACTTTCATCGGAATTCTATCTGATGCCAAATTTCTACCCAACACCAAACTTTTACCAGTCACCGTACATCTTTTTGTCGCTAGACTTTTGTTGAACTTCTACCTGACGTCGAGCTTCCTCTAGCCGTCAAATTTCTACTTGACGCCGGACTTTCACCCATCATAGGATTTCTACTTGACACCGGACTTTCATCAGAATTTTAACCGACGCCAAACTTCTGCCTGTCACTGGATTGCTACTTGACACCAGACTTCCACCCGTTGCTAGACTTCTACCCGTCACCAAACTTTTATTGGACTTCTACTCAATGATAGACTTATGTCTGTCACTAGATTTCTACCCGATTATGGACTTCCTTTTGTCGTTGGACTTCTTCCCATCGTCGAGCTTCTACCCATTATCGGAATTTCGTCGGACTTCTACTCGACCCTGAACTTCCGCCTATCGCTGGATTTTCTACCTGATGTCGGACTTCCACCGGCCTTTGTATTTATACCCGATGCTGTACATTCATCAGAATTCAACTCGACGCCAGACTTCTTCTCATAGTCAAATTTCTACGCAATATCAGACTTTCGCCATTCATCGAACTTTTGCTCATTGTCAATCTTTCATTAAACTTCTAGTCGATGTCTAACTTCCATTGGTCGCCAGATTTGTACCCAAAATTGGACTTCCACCCGTTGTCGGACTTCTGTTTGTCGTAAGACTTTCGCTAGACTTATACCAAACGTCGGACTTTCTCCCTTCGTCGGATTTCTACCAATATCGGACTTACACCAATTGTCAAACTTCTTCCCGTCACCAAACTTTTGTCATACTTCTACCCAACACTGGACTTTTGCAAGACGTCAAATTTCTATCTGACGTCAGACTTCCACCAGTCGCAGGACTTCTGCCCATCATCGAACTTTCATCGGACCTTTGCCTGACACTGGATTTTTGTCAGACTTCTATGTGATGTCAAACTTCCATCCATCATTAAACTTCTACCTAACATTGGACTTATGCCCATCACTGGACTTCCGACCTCCGTCACCAGCTAACTATGGTCCTTCCAATCTCCTTCACTAGACAATAATCTTTTTGGCCACTATCACCCGCCAACTACAGTCCTTCCAACCTCTATCACAAAATAACGGTCATGTCAACAACTATCATGTAACTACAGTCTTTACAACTACTGTCGCTCATCAACTATGATCCTGCCGACCAAACGAGAATGTCAATAGTGACTCTTTTAAGTCCCATCATGTAATGCATTTTATATGATGTATATTTATTACATCAAGCCAAGGCCTTCCCCCAAAGAAGGGTCTTATTTGTAATCAACTGCAAATAATAGTAGATTCATTCAAACTGTTCGAGGCCTCGTAATTTTTTCTCTTTTTAGAGTTTTCCATATAAAAAATATTGGCGTCTCTTATAAATACCGCACCTTCTCTTTTATTTTTATTGTGTACTCAATTTTTGTACAAAGCTAAGATGTTAAACTATATATTTCTCTATCACTGTGAATATTGCAAGATACAACAATTTGGCATCGTTTTTGGGAACACGATTCTCGATTGGGGGATTATTTTTGCTCCAACTTTAAAAGGTCGTTCGTATCAACATCCTAGCATAAGCTATTGACACATCAATTTCATGAGAATTAAATGTGAAATGGGGGCAACTTTGACTACAACCGTGGTCAAGAAGATTCCTCCAACTCTTTTAATATCTAAGATGATATCTTGGGATAATAAAGCTCCTAATAAATGTGATGAAGCTTTCAATAAATTTCAAGCTCTATACAATCATTAAATGAACTTTTAGTCATTGGATAAGGTCTTAATCTCGACCTCAAAAAGATAATAACGATCTAAAAAAAGATCATTCTTCACCTTTAATTTGGGATACACACGGCATTCTCCCCCTCCCAATTAAGGCAAAATCAATCCCTGTGTGATTTGATTTGACCTCTTTCATATATGTTAATGTCATTGAACGGTGCTCTGACATACAACCTCAGATATGTCATATATTCTTTGTGGATTCTCTCGACCTCTTTCATATAGGTTAATGTCTTCAAGTAGTGCTCTGACATATAACCTCAGATAGGTCATATATTCTTAGTGGATTATCTGTACCTCTTCCATATAGGTTAATATCATTTAACAACGCTCAAACATATAATCTCAGATAGGTCATATATCCTTGGCGGATTCTTTCAACCTATTCCATATAAGTTAACGTCATCGAGCAGTGCTTTGACATACAACCTCGGATATGTCATACATCTTAGGTGGATTCTCTTAACATCTTTCATATATATTAACGTAATCAAGCAACACTCTAATAAATAACCTCAGATAAGTCATACATTTTTTTTTTGGATTCTATTGACCTCTTCCACATAGGTCAACATCATCGAGTAATGCTCTGAGTAGATGATATTCTTTTTAGAAAAAATTCATGAAAGCAAGTAGTTGATAAAATCATCACTCATATGAAAACTTTAGTAGGTTGAAAAGCCTCAAAAAGATATATCAAGCAATATATCAAAACATGTCTCATAAATGCATAAAGAACTTAGTTTCCTCTAAGGAATAAGTTCATTTTAAATGAAAAATAAGCATCGAGATTATACAATAATCTTGAATTCATATACAATATCATTGAAATTATATAGATTACACATTAGGTTCAATTATACATTCATTTTTACAAGAAAATGAATTAAAATTACACCAGCATTATCCGTACAAGCATCTCATACAATTTTTTCTTTAAATAAAGGTTAAAAACTAATCATTATCAAGCCTCCACTTCATTGACTCTATTAATGTGTCAATAAAGTGTTGACAAAGCACACTATTTTGACCCCTTCCATCAGAGATGTCTGATGTCTGCACACATCTTAATTGATACATATTGCCTTTACCAGAATGCAACTGAACCACCGTCATCATCAGCCCTTCACCTAATGTTCGTCGTTAGCCCTTCACCTCATATTAACCATAATCGACTTCTCACTCGGCTACTATTAGCAACACAGCCTCTAACTATCTCATTCAGCTCTCCACCAGATCATTGATTTACATCAGATTTCAACCTGATCATCGATCGTCACTGGACTTTCGCTTAAGCAACATCAAAATTCTTCCAATATACTAACATCAATACTTATCCTCCCATGTATTATTACCATTAGATCATCTCAAATCACCCTTGCATATAAGAGGTTGTTGATCTTCTTCTATCAGATTTGTCTATCGAGAGAGTAAATTCTCATAATGACTTCTACACGAAAGAGAGACAATGAAGTTTGATAGGGGATGTCACATATCTCAGATAGTGAAATGTTTCTAATATAAGAAGAAAATCAGATGAGAAGAAGGAAGAAGGAGAAAGCTTCTTCTGCACAAAAGAGGAGCACTAAAGTTTGATAGGAGATGCCACCTATCTTAAAAAGTGGAATGACTTTAATGTAAGAAAAATATTAGAGGAGAAGAAGAAGGAATGATGAGAAAGCTTATACACAAAAGAGGGGTACTAAAGCTTGATAGGGGATGCCGCCTATCTCAGACATTGGAATGCCTCTAATGTAAGAATAAAGTAGAGAAATGTTGAAAATTATAACTTCTACATAAGAGAGGGGCGCGCACTTGTACTTGATAGGAGATGTCACATATTCAAGACAATGAAATGCATCAACTATGAGCTAGATAATTAGAGGAAGAAGGGAGAAAAAGAAGAGGAGCAATATATCCCATATCCCTAGGGGCCTATTTATAGGTGAAAGAGGAATAGAAATATTCAAAAAAAGATTATAAGAATATTCTAGGAATAAGAATATCCTAAGAATATTTAAAAAAATTATTTTTTTTAAAAAGAGAAAAGATAAATAAAATGTTTCTCTAAAAAAAGAATGAGAGAAAAAAACACCGGCCGGGCTAAAAAAAAAGAAAAAAATCTATTTAAAAAAAGGTGGCTAGGCCCACACAAAAAAAAATCTCTTACAACAAAACCGCGCACAAAAGGCGTGTATTTTTATTGGAGCATGATTAATATATGTTTTAATTCATATATCATTGTCATAGATTTTTCAATTCTATATATGAATTCAATTAACTTTATATTAACTAATATATAGATGTTAATATTTATTAATATAAATATATCTCTTATTAATATATGTTTTGAGATTAATTTTTTTTTGGGACATTTGGGCTATTTAAGGCAAACTGACACACACAACGCATACACATGGACTCGAACCTTGAACCTCTTAGTTGGAAGCCTAAGCTCTCAACCAATAGGTCAAGGAGAGTTGTGTAATATAATAATTTTCATTAAAATAAGTTATAAATAATATTAATTTATATGAATTAATGTCTACTTAATTAATGAATATTAATTATTAAACTTAATTTACTCATTTTAAATAATTCATCTCATTTTGCTTGGCCCCTGTTTGCTTTCCCTGTATTTCTTCGTTCTGTTCTTCTTCGGCTCCTTCGTCGCTTGTTCGACTTCGCTCCTCGAAGACGTTACCTTTCTGTTTGATCGGAAGTTATGAAATTTTGATCGGAAGCAGCGACGGGAGCTCGCTCGCTGTGAAGGTAACTTTCTCCCTTTCGCGCGCTTCTTCGGAAATTCGGGATTTACCACGAAAAAGGGGTAATTTTCCGTCTACGGCCGCTTTCATTTACCGTGAGATTTGATTTTGCATTTTAAGCCGTTTGGCTGGATTTCGCTCAAATCCACTTCAAATCCGGCATAAATCCTGCTACCAAACAGCCCCTAAAAGGGTTTAGGAAATCGGGAGGGGAAGGAATCCTACTAGGGTTTTAGCGTGAAGTTATGAGTTGTGATGGTTGCATGAAGGCTTGATCTTGAAATTGAAGAAAAGATTCTTATTCTAGTTATTTAACTGGGAATACATATTGCTCAACTTTGGGCGGCAATTCATCTCGGTTGCTGATTCGCTAGAGAAAGGCTTCATTTCCAGAATTTCCTCTTCCGCTTCTGTCAAAGGTATACTTTTTAGTCTTTCCGGGTGTTCAAATTATTTGTTTTGTTTTTGTTGTATTTTTTGGGTCAATTCCTCTTTTAGTAAGTTTACACGACTATTCTTTGAAATGTTTGTGCCAAAGACTTCCAAGAACTTTGGAGTTGACCTGGGAAATTGCTATCGGATATCTTTTTGTTTTTTTCTTTCGTTTCTGGATATTGATAAGTGCAGGGCAGATTTAGAGCAACAGTTACTTTCCTCTATTGTGATCTGGAGGTCACAATTTCGAATAATGAAAATAGCCTCTCACGACCCTAACCTACTGGATTTTGAAAATCAGTGTCCTTTTAATACCCGCTCCCTTATGCTTTACTACGCTATTGATGACCGCATGACTTGCTTTGTAATGAAGTTTTGCTGCATGATGGTAGGCAATGGCTAGATCAGTTGATCCACCAAATGGCACTGGAAATCCTGGAAAGCATTACTATGTGATGTTGCAAAGCCTCTTTGAGATTGACACAAAGTATGTGCCGATCAAGCCAATTGGTAGGGGAGCATATGGGATTGTTTGTTCCTCTGTGAACAAGGAGACAAATGAGAAGGTTGCAATCAAGAAAATTAATAATGTATTTGAAAATCGTGTCGATGCGCTTCGAACATTGAGGGAAGTGAAACTTCTCCGTCACCTACAGCATGAGAATGTCATTGCTTTGAAGGATATAATGATGCCGCCTCATAAAACTTTTAGGGATGTTTATTTGGTCTATGAACTCATGGATACTGACTTGCATCAGATTATCAAATCTCCTCAGGCACTCTCCAATGAACATTACCAATATTTTCTCTTTCAGGTATATTTATTCTCTAATGCTTTGCTAATAATTTCTTGCATATTGGGACATTTAATTTTACTATGATTTGATGCTTCTATTGTTTAAATTGTTTGTGAAGTGCTCTTGTAGCTTTGTTTAACCTAAAGAGTGTCTTCATGGAAGCTTTGTTTAATTCAATGACACTCGGGCTTGTATTTTTTGGCTTCGACAAGGGATGCCTCTTTCTCCGACAAATGCTGCTCAGCCTTCTTTGACTCAAGGTAAACAATCTTGGCCTCCGTCTTGTCCAGGCAAGCTCCATCTTCGTCCCTTTTCTTATTCATATCGAATCGCCTCTTGGCAGCCTTCTTCGTGGCTTTCTATGCAAGATGAAAAATGCTCAATGGTGCATTTGCGACTCACCTCGTTTGCCTTCATTCAGCTAGCAAGCATCAAGCTAGTGTGCAGGGGTTCGAGGATCTAGTTGTGGAGTTCATAGGAGAGCTTTGTCACGGCTTTGCAGTGAAGTTTCTTCTAGACTTTCGTTGGCTGGAATATCTTGGATATGCGCATGTCAAACCGACTCTTATCAACCGCTAGCTCAAACTCATTCGGGGTCCTTGTGGTAGCATCACCATTTTCATGATGGTGTAGGATGCACACCAACTCAAGACATTCATGAGCAAACAAGCTAGCTGCAATTCATAATCTTGTGCAAATGTCCTTAGGAAATCTCTTGTAAGTGGCCTCAGTCACATTACTTAATTATGCCTTGGAACGCGATCTCTTCACCTCTATTCGAAAATCTTCTTGATGAATTCCTCGACCATGCTCTTCAAAACCCTCCAACCTAGCTAATCACATCAACCATAATAAGAAATGTCGGGATGCAAAGGCATTTCTTTCAGCAAATTTTAAACACCACATTGAGAGTAAGGTAGCAACCATTGCTCCCATGATATTTCAATATTAACGGGCAAGTTTCAATATACCTTTATACCAACATACTCATTATTATCTCCAACTTGAATCAATGAAATCAAAGCATAATTCTTGTGGCGGCGCATACTCAGTGCTATTGGGATCCCAATCCCCATAATTATTGCCCCATCAGCCTCATTGTCCCCCATAATCTATTGTCCAACAATCATGATAGTCTGCTAAACACAAAAATGTACACTACATGATACCATGTTTTGATATCACGATCTCGTAACCACCTTTCTGCTACACTATGGTGCCACTTGGCGGGCGGGAGAGGGGGTTGGTTGGTTGGCTAGGGAACTAGTTAGCTAATTAGTTAGTGTAATGGTAAGCTCACCCACATCATTTATTAGTGTTCAACAATATTTTTCTTGGGGCCCGCAACACAGCTCTATCACTCTCGTCCTGTCAAATTCTTCTACAATATTTTAGCAACTCATTTATAAGTACATTTTCCTCTCATCTTCATAAAAAAGATATGTTGTAATTCTCTCCTCTACCTATTGTAGTTGTACCTAACTCTTTAAGGACTCCGCTTTATGTATTCTGCTCAGAAGCTCAATAAATCATCTCGACTAATCACATAGTTGGCGTAGCTTGCTTGATTGAACCACTCTAAAAGTTCATGGTGTTTGACACTGTTTCTCTTCTTCTATCTTTCTGGTTGATTAGTCCCTCTTTGCCTCCTTAGCAAGCATTCTGTGAAGACAACATGCTTCCATTTTCTCTATTCTCGAACCTTTGATACGTTTACTCGTTAATATCTAGGCTCGACGAGTTTTCATCATCAACAAAAAACATTGTGCGATGAGTGATGGGGCATCACACGTGATTTGTGGAACATCATAGGTGCAATTCACGATTTGGTTCAAGTGTGAAGGCACAAAGGTGGACTTGATGAGTTCTCATATGGGCACAAAGGCGGACTTACAAATGAAAATTCACACTAAGGTGCAGAGGTGATAGTTGGCTAGCTGTTACATATGTGCCCAATGTTAGAACTAAGACGAAGGAGGACTGGTGGCTATTAGTGTGAGTGGAAGTGTTAGGAGTTAGTTTTCTATCTTGTTAAGAGGTATTTATATGGATATTTTGTCTTAGAATTTGCCTAACTAAATGTTTCTCATGGGTTAAAGGAGATGCTCAAATTCAATCGAGCTAAGTCCAGATGGCCAAGCTAAATGCTCATTTCAGATTAATCTAGCTTGGAGGAATGACTTTTAGTTCAATTAATTTAAAATTTTAATCAAGTTATCAAGCTAATTTTAAGAATTTTTAATCAATTCGAGTTGATAGGTCGGTTTGGGTCGAACCGATTTGACCCGGATCTAAACGGGTCAACCTGAACCTTACCCGTTTTTGCAAACAGATCAGATATTTTAACCAGGACCTAACCCGCACAGGTTGCCGGGTTGATACGATCCGACCAAAATTTAGGAGATTTGGCTGAAGAAGCGTGAACTGAGCTCCCGTCGCTACTTCCAGTTCCTATTCAAAGCCGGCGACGAAGCAGCGGCAACAACGACGGTAGCGGGCGAAGTTCGCAACCGCGAGTGCTGCCAGTGGGCGAAATCCGCGAGTGCGAGCAGCGACAACAACGATGGAAGACGATCGGCGAGCCTCAAGTGCGGGCAGCGGGCAGAGTTCGCGAGTGCGGGCCGAAATCTAGAATGAACTCCGACTTTCCAGTCATTGTCGGGTTGATTTCGAGTTTCCGGGTCAACACGAACCCGACCCTTTTTTTTAAATGCATAAATAATCCAAACCCGAACCCTACATGTTTGCCAGCTGGGTTAACCCGAACCTAGATTTTTCTGGGTTGCGTCTAGGTCGGGTTTTGGGTTGTGTCAAAAATTGACACCCCTACTTCAGCAGGACCATGACTATAATTATAAGGGGTGTGCTTTGGGTTCTAGCAAAATAACCTTTAGGACCACGCCTTACAGGACTATGATCACAAATTACAACTAACAAGCTTTGGTGTTGAAGTGATTTGATCTTTAGGGCTAGGCCTTACATGTATATCATAATAATATGGTCCATATCTAATTAGGAGCAACTATGCTAAAACGAAGTTCTATTGAATTGAATGTCATCTTAAGGACGGTTCCTTTAAGACTTACGATGTTTTTGTGACCAATAGAAGAGAGGGATGGTTCCTTTGCGAGTTCATCGAAGTGAGGCAAAGTGAAGGAGTCTGCCGTATTACTAGCTCCCAAAATGGTTAGAGATCTACAAAAGCTCATGGTAATACCATTTTAACCCAAGAAGAAGTATAAACTCATTTGGGATATCGTGATACTGCAATAATCAGGTCAAGGGAAGACAAATAACTCTTTAGAATAGAGTTTTCATGACATTTGTATCAAATTCACCAAAGAGTTTATTGTATATCACCATGAAGAGTTCAATGACTCGTTACAATATAAAATGATACCACAACAGTTGAATTGAGGGGGATTTGGGTCTCAATGGCTCAGACCTAGTTGGGGTGATCGAGTTTATCTCCCTAGGCCTGTGAGATGTGGGATCTCATGTCTTTTTAGGGGTGTTCACCAAGGTGATTCAATCACCTGGTATAGGGCACATGACCCTATCCATAGGTTACCTTAATTTGGAAGCCTTTTGAGGTGAAAGGATGTGAGATTTGTAGAAATAGAGGTTTGTTGATCCTTTATTTTTTGTTTCTTAGTTTGCTCTTGATTTGAGGTAAGTGAAACTAGAGAGGCAAAATTGGTTGAAATTGGGTCTATTTGACACTGTTGTGCTAAGAGATAATAACTTGTTTGATAGTCCATATCACATTCGATTAATAGTGAGTGAAACTAGAGGAAAGATCATTGCTTCAGTGATTATTTTGTTAAGTATCACCAGTTGAGTGGGGGAATGAGATGTGCAACCTCACAATCAACTAAGAGATAAGTTTTTCATTTATATATTAATTATATGGCAAAGGGCCTTCTCATGAACTTGCCATTTCAATGGAAGTGAAAAAATAACATGATAGAGGTCAAGGAAAACGTCTACTCTAAAGGTTCTTGGTCAACCAAATGATCATGAGCCTAAGGTATGTAGGTTTGATGCAGCTTAAGATTGTAACATCAACTTCTCTAAATCACGAAACTCTTCCAACTGAAGTCTGGCATTCCTCTCATTGGATAATGATGGAAGCTCTAACTCAAGAGGGAAGATTACTTCAATCACCCTGAAGGCCAAAGTCGTTGAATAGATTTAGTTAGTGTGTGGTAGGTGGTCTATAGGCTTACAATGCCTCAGTAAACTTATGATGCCACTCTGGTTTGGTACAAAGGAGTTTCATTATAGGTTGTATAAAGGTTCTTTTTACATGTATCAACCAGATGATTTGCCCAATATAATATGTGGTAGAGTCCCACTAAATGTCAATGAGAGAACCTGGCCATATTAATACTCAAAAAGATGTATCATTATTTGAAATGATGCTGTTGGACATGCCAAAGCGACAAACAATGACTTGAAAGAAAGTTGACACATTATTCGCCTTCACCTTTTTGCAGGGGATGCCTTTAGCCCGCTTCAAGAAGTAATCGGAAGAAGGAATCTATAACCATTGCGAGAGGGAGGGGCATAGGATCAATGATATCCATACCAGAGCTTTCAAAAGGCGAAGAGACCACAATGACATGGAGTTGACCTAATAGAATTTTGTCATGAATTTGACATTGATGGCACTATTAGGAATGCTAAATACAATCATTGATCTTGGTGATTTAAGAATAACAGAGGCACTTAATTGTAACTTTAATAATGAGATCAAATTGATGAGCTCTGCAAAGCCATGTATCTCTCTTATGACTTTATGGCTTTCTTGTGATTGTTTTCTTGTAATTAAGGCATCATGATCACATCTAATCAAATGTGCATTGGTATATGGTGTCTTTGATGAGCGAAAATAACAAAACTCTTTTCTTACTCTGGTCAACAAGGTTTTTGTTATCATTAGCTTCCTTAGTCATATGTAATTTGTGAAGGAGACTTTTCAATTGGATTATTACTCAACTGCTAAGACTATGGGG